TAGGCTATGCTGAATTTCATGCAATACTGTTCTAGGAGAGTTCTCCAGAACCTGCTGGTGAAGATCTTATCTTGATTTGAGATGATCTCCTCTGGCCTTCCCTGCACTCGAACCACTTGTTCGACGAACAGCTTCGCCACACCTTCTGCATCCACTTTCGTTGTGGTGGGTATGAAATGTGCCATCTTCGAAAATCGGTCCACCACCACGAATATCGCATCAAACCCCTCACTTGGGGGGAGTCCCATGATGAAGTCCATTGTAAGACATTTCCATGGATAATTTGGAATTGGGATGCTTTGTAACAAGCCCCCACTAGCCTTAGTCATAGCTTTGACCTACTGACATGTTGGACATATCTTTACATAGTCTTGGATGTCCTTATCCATATCTGGCTAGTGGTACTTCCTCTTAAGTAAGCCCATCGTCTTGGGCACTCTGCCGTGTCCCACAAGAGGTCCGTCATAACACTCTTCTAAGGCTACCTTCCTTAGTTCCCCTTCTAGAACGTACACCCTCGTTTACTTGTAATAGATGAGTCCATTGCATTCCGCATAGCCTGTTTTCTCTTCTATTGGTAGCTCACCTCTCTGGTGAGCTTCCCATGCCTCCAGATTCCTCAACAACACGGCCAAAGCATTGGACCATCGACCTTGTTTCCCTCTCAGGTCGGGCTGTGACAAGAAGTGTTTTGTTGCCACATTGTCTATGTAAACCTTGAATTGTCTCCCAAGGTAGTGTCGCCACTCCTTGAGTGCCATGACCACCGCAAACAATTCCTTCTCGTGGGCAAGCCACTTCCGTTGAGCCTTGTCCAACTTCTTCAAGAAGAATGCTACTAGATGGTTGTCTTGCTTCAAAACTGTGCCTGACGCAAAGTCTGAAGCATCCATTTCTACTTCAAAGTCCTTACCAAAGTCTGGTAATACCAACACAGGAGCCTTTCCTCAACTTCCCTTTGACGTGGATAAATGCTACCTCGCATTCCGCTATCCATACCATCTTCCCTTTTCCCGTTTGGTCTGTTAAGGGTAGGGCTACTCTTGAAAACTGTTTGATAAAATTTCGATAGTAGTTGCATAGCCCTAAGAACGCCCTCAACTTATGTACATTCGATGGTCACTCCCAATTCTGGATCGCTTGGACCTTCTCAAAGTCCACCTTGAGCCCGTCCTTGCCCACCATATGCCCGAGAAACTTTACCTCTTGTTAAGCAAAGTCACATTTGCTCTCTTTAGTATACAGCTGGTGTTCCCTTAGTTTCTCAAACACCTTCGTCAAGTGTTCGGCATGATCCTTTAGCGTTTCGCTATAGATCAGGATGTCATCAATATAAATGACCACAAAGTGATCCAAATAGGGTACAAAGATGTGGTTCATCAATGCCGAAAATGTTGCCGGCGCATTGCATAGCCCGAAGGGCATCACCAGAAACTCAAAGCTCCAATACCTTGTTCAATAGGTTGTGTTCTCGACATTTTCCTTTGCTACCCTGATTTGGTAGTATCCTGACCTTAGGTTAATCCTCGAGAAGTATTTTGCCTTTCCTAACCTATTGAACAGATCCTCAATCCTTGGCAAAGGGTACTTGTTCTTCTTTGTATACTTGTTGAGCAACCAGTAGTCTATGCATATGCGCATAAATCCATCTTTCTTTTTCACAAATAACACCAGTGCCCTATATAGCAACTTGCTCAACCTAACATACCCTTTGTAACTCTTCTAATTGGTGCTTAAGCTCCTCAAGTTCTTTTTCGTTCAAATGATAGGGGGGATGAACCACCACCTCAGCAACATCGACCAACTCAATCTTATGTTCTATCAGTCGTGTGGGGGGCAACCCCACCGGTAGCTCTTTTGGTATGGTATCTTGGACCTTGTCCAACACCCACTAGATCACTAAAGGTACTTCTTCTATTCCCATCTTTTTGTCATTCTTCATCAAGAGTAAGCACAAAAATGCTACCTTGGTTCCTTTAGTGAGTTGTCCTCTCGTGGACACTAGGTTTAGGCAGGAATCTTTGGCCTTGCATTGCCCTACCTTTAAATCCTGGGCCTCCACCCTGGATCTTCTTCCTTGGGCATTCGCTAGTACCACAAGGTTCCTACCTTGTCCATGCAGGGCTACCATGAAATGATTGAACCAATCCATCCCAAAGATCACATCAAATCCTGCTATGTCCAACACGGTGAAATCCATGTTTACTTTCCATGTCCCTACTTCGACTCTCGCTTGTCGAAGTACCTCATTGGTGCTTTTGCTACCTTGAATAAACTCTATAGTCCTTGGTTCACCTAGCTGCTGGACCGTTAGTCCGGCTTGCCGGACTATGTCTATAGCCACAAAATTATCTGAAGCACCCGTGTCAATAAGGATCTTAACAAAGCTACCTCTGAGCTTCCCTCAAAGGGCTAGTAGATGTCGCGAATAACTCTCTACCAAAGTTGCTCGTGTAATGAGTAACTTTGAGCTAAAGACTGGATCACATACCTCAATTTGGGTTTCACCCAACTTAATGGCCATATTTGCTCTGGCCTTCTTCGGGTAGGGACATTCCCTCAAAAAGTGTCTTGCTTCACCGTAGTTGTAGCATACGTTGTTTCCCACGCTGCTAACCGACTTGACCTTCTTATCTATGGGTTTGTCTCTTTTTGTTTGACTCCCCCATGTACTCGCTCGCAGCCTATCGGATTTGCCTTTTCGAAACCCTGAGGACTCATTCTTAGAGAAACTCTTCTTGAATTTCCCTTTGCTATACATTCCCCTTGGTTTGGCCCTTTTGATAAACGTAGACCCCAACCCTGTCGTGTTCCCCTTTCACAGGTTATCATTGAAATGCACCTTGATGGCCGCATCCAATGCTTCCTTGTAGTTGGTTGGATTCCAACGCATCACTTCACTGCAAGCCTAGGTTTTCAAGCCCGATATGAAGGCATGGAATGCATCCATATCCCCCATGTCCGTGACAAGTATCCCCTTTGCCATAAACCCATTCACATACTCCTGAATGGTTCCGGTCTGCTTCAGCCTACTCATCTCATCTCTTAGATATAGAGTAGCATTCGGAGGAACGTAAGTCGCACGGATCCTCGCCTTCATCATTTCCCAAGTGGCTATCAGTCCTTCGTTGGCCTCTGTTGTTCTCCACCAAAACTTGGCATTATCTGCCAAGTATGGTTTTGCACATGGGACCTTCTCTGACCTCGGTAACCGCAACGCTCGAAAGTAGTCCTCCATATTGTAAAACCAATCCTCCACCACCTTATAGTTATTCACTCCCTTGAAGACCGGTGGGGGCTTTGTTTTGTACTTGGGAACTGCTTGAGGGATTGATTCCACTTCGGTCTTCAGTCCCTATTGAAGGGTCCGCACCTTCTGTGCTGCCAGCATCAACAATCTTTTGCCTTTTCTTCCGCTTTTTATCACGCTTTAGCTTGCGTACAAAAGTCTCCAACAAGGCATTGGTCTGTGCCAATTGTCCTTTTGGAACATCCAATCTAGCCTTGGATGACCGAACCTCATCACTGAACTCCTATTTGGAAATTTCCTCACTAGAGTCCTCATGCAAAGATTCCTCATCCATAACCTCTTGTTTGACCGGAGGCTCCAGCTCTGGAAGAGGTTCCGTCTCTGCCTTGGTTTATTTCCGCCCTGCCTTCGCCATCTCCCAGCAATCCGCCTCTATCCTTCACTAGAACTGAGGAAAAGGCTCCAATACCAAATTGTAAGCCACAAATTTTTCCTTTCCAATTTTTCAGCTTACCTTGTCTATCCGACCAACACTGCCTTGGCTTTTGCTAAGTTCCCTCGCCAAGGTTCCCACCTATTGTACCAATTCCTACTTGGTCCTACTTGGTTTCAGCTACTCACTGCACGAGCAACGGAGCATTAGCCATCCATCCACAGATTCCCAAATCTCTCCCAATCCCCCTCCTTGGGTTAGACTAGACTTAAGGTTCGGCTACACTCCCTGCAGGCTTAAGCAGCCAAGCACACCAAACCTCCAGGTTCTTAACATCCCTTGGTACAACAAGACTTGATCATGGGACCTTCTAAATCCCAAGTCTTGGGTGCAACACTTGCTTCGGGATACCGGGGGAAAACACTGTGGCCTGACACCCCGGTATGAGTACCTTTACCCCCCCACTTCAATCCTGAAGGGAAGGCCCAAGCCCCTAGGAAGAGGGAGGACCAATGAGCCACAAGGTACTCAAGTGGGGCACCATTCCATATGAGCCAAGAGCACTGCAGTTGGTTTCCCTTTTGAGAGTGGGAGTTGCTCTTGAACACTTCCTTGGGTGGCCCTTTCGGCACCACCCGAATCCATGTTCACTCCTATCCAAGGCCCCTCAGCCCCAATCTCAACCTCAAGTCAGTTTGGAAGCACCACTGGAGAGTTCTTTCAAGACTAGTTCCTAGACCTCACTATCCCTACTATACTTTTGGAACCCCTTGCATTTAATTTAAATTTCTTAATTTGTTTCTACTCTTCTTATACACACTTCTTTGGTGTATTTGGGGTTGGGCACCAGAGGCTGGAAGAAGTCGTCACAGGAGAGAGCAAGCAGGTCACCACTCACGAAAAGCTCAAAAAATCTGGAAGGAAGACGTCGCCAAGGAACTGTTGAGTACGTCGCAAGAAACAAATGCTGTCGTCACCAGCTTCCACACATCTTCAACGTGCTCTAGGAGCACAAAACCAAAGTTGGGTACCGGCAAGTCTTCATACTAAGGCTTATTATCTGAATCTGGGCGCTCCGTTTTGGGGCACCTATTGGTAGGTTTAGTCAGCATTCACCAAAAAGAAATTTAAATTTAAGACAACGTGTCATCCTCCTTTTGCATAGTTTTAACTTTTAAATGTTAATTTTTTCTCCATGAAGTTCAGGTTGACGGCGGTACTTTGACGAGGCATGCTCACTCAGCGGCCCATGTTTCTGCTTGACTCATGGAGGGTTTAAAACCAGGAATAACTGCAAGAAAGAGCACTGACATGTTTTCAAAAGTAGTTGTCACAGGAACATCTGCCATCCTGGAACACATGAACCCGACTGGCATCTTTGCAGATGATTAGCCTTTTTTCCAGCTTAGAGATGAGAGTAGTGGCCGCATGGCAATCGTCACAAACTCGGAGATTTTTCACGATTCTGATGGTCTCCTTCTGGTGCGAGTTCACCAGAGCACACCCCAGCGCAAGCTTCTCACTGTGGCCGCACAGGTGATCTTCCTCGGGCATGTCTTTTAGATCGTTGATCACATCGCTCGCGTACCCCTCCTCTTTCATTCTCAGCAGCAATTGCTTGAGCTTGGCCGCAATCTCGTCGCTCTGTGAGTGACTCCTATCCCCGACAGAAAAAGAATGCACTTTTCCTGAGCTAACATCCGTCCACCAGCTTCTCCCGGGCTCCCTGAAGCTGCCTTCACCTCTCATTCTCTCCACAACAGCAGCCCTTTCACTGAGCATCCCCAGGTTTCCAAATATATTGGCCATCAATGCGTAGGGCGTGCCGCTCTTGGGATCCATCTCCACAAGACGCTCAAACGCGAGTTTGCCAATCGTGTAATTCTTCCACTTCCGGCAGGCTCCGAGCAGGGACGTCCAAACCACTGCATCCGCTTCAAAAGGCATGGCTCTGAGAACTCTCACAGCTTCGTCGAGGAGGTTAGCTCGCCCGAGCATATCGATCAGGCACACATAATGCTCCAGACGTGGCTTGACTCCATACTGCTTGGGCATTTCATCCAGAAGCTGCCTTCCTTTCCCGACCAGACCACCATGGCTGCAAGCGTTCAACACCGAGACAAAACTCACATCGTCAGCTTTACAGCCCTCCTCCTGAGTCATGGAATAGAAACGCTCCAAGGCCTCGATCGATCGGCCCTGGAGAGTGTAAGCCTGTATGAGAGAGTTCCAGAGACCCGTGTCGTTCCGAGCTCGGCACTCGTCAAACGCTTCCTGAGCAGAATCAACATCGCCGCATTTCTCACCAGGCTGGAGCCCAGAACTGGATTGTTTTTCAGCAGCCCTTTATGCTTCGCCAGCTGGTGAATCTCCCTCCCGAGCTTGATCGCCATCACACTCCCGCAAGCAACAAGGACGCAAGTGTAGGTGCAAGCATCAGCTTGAATGGTGTTATCAGCTCTCAGGGCAGAGTAGTACTCCAGAGCAAGTTCAGCTCGCCCGTTCGTGTTGCAGCCCTGGATGATCGCGGTGTAAGACACAACACTCCGAGTTCCCATGGAGTGGAAAATCACCATCACTGAAAAAGGTTGGAATCTTGAATCAATCCACGAAGGAAGGCTTATTTGGAGTGCCACCACAACCAGCTTGGAGTGCCTCAACAAGTCAATATAGTCAATAAGAAATATTAAAAAGGAGATCTAAATTGAACAAATGAAGGTTCTAGCAAACTTTAAAATATTAAAATACGTAAATATCTAAGTTAAAAGTTTCTATAAGATTGAATTGTTTAAAAAAGACAAAGTTCATAAGAACCTATCTTTTATAAAACTATATTATTTTATTATGACAACTGTTACAGGTGTCATATTTTGATTTGACTACTTAATATTTAGAATACTTTTACAGTTGTAGATACTATTCCTTCATTCAAAAGATTTTTTAGGGTTCTTGAGAAGATGGGAAGCAAGGAAAATACATGATCTGTGAGTAAGAGTTGTAGTGCAAAGGAATGTGAGAATGTTAATTTTGTTTCACTACCACAACCTCCATATTACATTCCTGGTCTTTATTACCCATCTGGGAATGTGGAGACCATTATCACGATTGATAAAAATGCTCTTGTTACTTCTAAAACAACAGTCTAGAGCAAGAGAAATGAAGAAATGAATAGCACAGCAAAAAGCACCAAGAAATTTACTTCATAAAACTTTCCATGATATTTGTACTTTACATATTAATTCATATTAAAAACTCTATTGCTTGCCTATATCGCAATCCTCTTATATGATAAGACCAAGGTATATTTTGCAGTGAATCCTCATTAAAAGTTTTTGGGAATTGTTTGTAAATAATGATAAAAGAAATCAAAATCTTTCGAAAGACTCAAAAGTAATATCACATCAAAGAATCAACTTTATCTACATTTCCAAGACTGAAAGGTAATCTCACATGAGAGAATGGTAGTGTGCCAATGTGCTCTACCACTATAATGTGGTCTATATTTCCTTACAATTTATTTCCCTAGACATTTGGCATGTGTAGAAAAGAATATATGTGTAGCAAAGTAGGATTCATCATAATGATAGAGTATGTGTATACATAATAATCTAAAATTCTAGAAGCTCTTATATTTACAAGAAAGCTATGACTATAAAGCCCCATTTCCAAGACTGACATTTAAAGAATCTGAGTATTGTCAGTAAGCTCTAGTTCGTTAAAGTGGGATTTATTCAGTAAAATGGGACTAGGTACAAATTTTCAAGTATTTGAAAATGACGTGAAATTATATGTTTTTTGTCCAGGGCCTAGACATATCTGGGGCATGGTGACTAGCGCGGTGACTTTGTGTCCAGACTGAGTCCATCTGGTTGTATAATAAATCTCATTGTCAAGGTGAACAAGCCGAATCTGAAGCTAAAGAAGAGCGGTTATGGCGTGTGTGCCTCGCGGTTATGGCGTGTGTGCTCATGCCATTCATTGCAGATCAAGGGCTGAGTGAAAGCAGGCAGTCACCACCTCATGACTCAGATTCCTATGGCGGACTCCCCTTCCCCAATCTCAATGGAGAGGTACAATGGATGAGGGAAGCTTTTCAAGTCAGGGCCACGTTTTTCTCATCTCGTCGTCTTCGAAGGGTGCAAGAACGTGCAGAAACCATGTTAAGACAGTCGGGTGAGGATACGGTCCTAGGTCACGCACTAAAACAGGCTATGGATGTCTTGTATTTTGAGATGGAGACTCGGCCAGATGATTTTCCCAAGATGGTCCTGGAAGAACAAGCCATCCAGCCTGAGCAGCCTATGGAAGAAATGCAGGAGGGGGATGAGGAGCCAGAGAAAGATAATGAGCAGGAAGAGCAGAAGGACGAAGAGGAGGACAAAGAAGAGGAGGACGAAGAAGAGGAGGACGAAGAGGACTTGGATGGTCCTCACAATGGTGACGATCACAATAACGACGACGACGATGATGACGACGATGGCCAGCCTGAGGTGGCCAAAGAGCAGCGGAGGAAGGTCATACAAGACAAACCATCAGGTAAATAATAGTACATCCATTCCTAACCTTTTACCATTTCTAACATTGTCCATGTAGGTCGCAGAGCAAATGGTAAGTAGAGATTATTCAGTTGAATTTACAAACTCTAGCCTTTAGTGTCGAGGAAGGATAGTGCCAAGCAAGGGTCGAAACGTATGTCCAATCCTTCAGAATCAGCAGTGCGCCCAAGTGATATCGGTCCTAGTTCCTCAATAACAGTTGATGGTAAATACAGTATAGTCGATTCAATGTGCTAATGAGTTTGTTTTTAGTAGCACGGGAGGATACCATCTCAATCGAAGGGAGATATTTGGACATGCATATGGATCCGCCAGTGGACTCTACTTGGCTGCAAGAGTCATCAGAGCTGGTGGAGGCTACTATCCATATCAACGCCAAGCAAGCTGACCACGCTCCACTTGATGCTGCCCATACCACTGAGTCAATTTTGTCCACGTATCCAACTGACGGTGACCAGGCGCCATTGGACCCACATGAGGCCGCCCCAGCCGCCGAGCCGGTCGTATCCTCATTTCCAACGGACTCAACGTGTGCCCAATCGTCTGACTACGCGCTGTTGGAACCTCCCTACACCGCCCCTGCTGCCTGTTCGGTCATGTCCACTTTGCCAACGGAGGCACCAGCTGAAATGGCGTGTGATCACACGCCATCGGAACCACCCCATGCCACTGTTGAGCCAGTTGTACCAGAGTCTACAGCTGAAATGGCATGTGCCCACACGCCATCGGATGCGATTGACCCCACATTGCAGAGGAGAGTATTTCCGCCCTTCACGTTTCCTCGACCAAAACCCTCTCAACGACCATCGGGAGCAACATTCGCTAATATTGTAGATGGTAAAATTGACTTATACCATTTTTTATGCTGACGCATTTCATTTCAGAGTCACGGCGAAGGTACTGTATCGTTTTTGATCTGAACGGTGTCCTTTTCTCCCATGAGCGTGGCTCGTCCTCGAATGTCATTGCACCCTCCAAAGCCTGCGGTCGCAAGTTGGTCAAAAGAGACAGATTCACATTAATCACACGGGAGAAACTGCGGGATCTAATAATGACCATGCGACACTTAAAACAGAGGGCCGGGTTCAATTTGCAATTGGGAGTTTGGACATCCATGATGCGCCACAATGCATTAACGTTGCTACAGATGATGCACAATCAGACGCGAGTAATATTACCATTTGACTTTCTCCTAACGCAAGAGGATTGCTTGACTATGGTCCATGTGAGGGGTAGCAAGCCCATCTTCGTCAAGCCAGAGGCTGTAGTGATGAACCGGACTGCTAGCTCAAGTGAAATCCTCATCATCGATGACTCGCCGATTAAAACTGCAGCGAACACGCACACATATGCAGTGCACCCCATCTCTTGCAGTATGGAAACTAGGGAGAAGAAACCGTATGTTCTGGGGGACCTTGCAAAACGGCTTGGAGCGATGGTGATAGAGAACCGGCCAGTCCAGGAGGTGGCTGCAGAAATCAACCAAATGGCAGATGGAATGGTATATCAGAAGCCATTTGATCGGACAGACACCAGTCATCATTTATGGCATGTATATTGTCTAGCCAAGCATTATCCGCATCTCCATAATCTGCTCAACCGGATGGGTTCTTCGACCACTGAACATGAGCGTGGACATATTAGAGAAGAGATGGCATTACTATTGGGTTTAAATCCTGATAGTGTGGAGAGTGATGAAATTCCAAGATTATTGTATAGGCGTTGGAGGCAAAAAATAACAATCTGAGATGGCATGTATTTATTTAAAAATGTAACTTATTATGGCATGGGGTTCCATGCCATTGTATTAATATTAAAAGACAATTCTTTGAGAGGATTTGCATTATACTAGAAGTGTTACAGCATGTTATTGGAAGTCTACGAAGTTGTTTTATTAATAAGGGGAAAGTAAAGATTGAATGGGGACTTGGGCTCCACCTAGACTCGGAGCAACTGAGCCAATATTAAAAGGATGGAAAGAAATTGGACGACGATGACAAGGAGAAGAGAGAGGTGAAGCAGTGGCAGGGGGAGGAGAAGTGATTGAGTAGACATTTCCTTGTTTAAAATAAAATGGCATGTGCCTCAATGCAATTGAATTTTGTTATATTTATATACTATATAAAGGTTTGGAAACCTTATTTTACAAGTGGGATAATGACAATTCCCACTTTAACGAAATAGAGCTTCAGTGTCATAATAAATAAACCTCATTCCCAAGACTAAACCTTAGTATATAAACTATCTAGAAAAGTTATAGTCATTGTAGGTTTTTGTTCTCTTTGAGCTAATTAGAAGCTTATATTAAAATGGCTCAAAGGAGACTCATTGCTACTCGTACTTGGCCCCCTAGCATTTCATATCAATCTCCACCTCCATCCCCAAGTTCTACCAACATTCCACCTTCACCTCCACATAACAATCCTTTTTCTGTTGAGGGCTTTAGTGAAACTGAACTAGAGCTCCCTATATGTGAAATTCTGGATCTTGCTACTAGAGAGGGATTGCCTTTAGCGCTTCAAGAGCAATGCCACATGTTTTTGCAAGATCTTGTTCCTGACATAGCGGGACTACTTGAAAGCACAGAACACTATTACATTTGGTGTCCAATATGCTACTTTTTCTTGGACAAGACAAATAGCTCTATGGGTTTACAGACTTTTCTTGAGCACTATAGGAATTGCCCAATGGCAGGTCTGGAAAATGTGCACGTGTGGACATACAATAGATTCAAGAATGAGTTACAGACACATACCCACTATTGCTTCATGGTGAGGAACAACATCCCTTTGGGAAACACTGCATTGGCTAGTGCAAAATATAGGGTTTTTAAGCCA